GTAGAAAATTTAAATTCTAAAAAATTGATTAACAATTCTGTAAATTTAAAAAACAATTCTATATAAATGAACAATTTTGTATAATTGAAGGTCATTTCTATAAAAGCAACCACCTCAACCATTTTTCAATTTGAAAACCAATACTACAAAAAAACATTCACAAAATGAACATTAATTCATTCTCAAACTTAGAATATTGATAATTCATTTACAAAATGAAGAAACCTATAGAGTTAAATATGGATCCAATTATAGCAAAATTATGCAAACATCATTTATTATACATAATTAGCATCCACAAATTCAAAAGAATGAATCTATTACATATAATTAACTATTCAAAATAGAAAAAAGGATTCATTTATGATAAAATCATACAAAACCACCAACCATTTAGTCTTGATTCTTTATGGGCCTTTCTTTTGTTTTGACGAGTGGATTGCTTGGCTTTTTACTCCTCTTTTGCTCAAGCTCCCGTTGATTTTTTTTGTTGATTTGGAGGTTGAGTGTCCGGATTTATAATTTGAAAAAAATACATATGTCAAGCTATAAAAATTAAAACACCAATAAAACTTAGTTACAACCAAGAAAATTTCGATCGTAAATCATATAACCAAAAAATTTTCAAAATAAAGACAAAGACTAAATCGAGTCTCTAACTTGCATTCCAAATTAAAAATCTTATATCGGAATTCACATATAAGCCATATATAAATCTATAAAGTCACTCATTTCTAGAATTCAAAGGAGTATCTATGGTTTTTAATTTCTATGTTGAAATTAAGTCTTGTATTGGCATTTGATCATTTAGTGTTGGGTTTTTTTATTGTAATAGTTGGTATAATGAAAGTTGAATCACTTATTGACCAATCCTAAAATGCAAAAGAAAAAGGGTCAAATTAAAAAAAATCTTAAATTTTATTGGTGAGTCATTTACTCTATATTAAGATCTCTCATTAAGTGTTCAATAAAAAATCTTGAAGTGTATTGATTTTCACCATAAAAAACAACCTAAGTCAAAAGAAACATCTGATTATTCTCATCTTTTTTTTTAATAATAGTTAAGATCTCATCTTTATACTTTAAAAAAAAAAAAACATTCATCCATTCTAAGAATAGGCCTCCATCCCGTCTTAAATCATCTTTTAAGTGCATCAAAATAAATGTACATAGTCTTGAACACCGATTACCCTTACTACTAGGTCCGATAAACCGATTTTCAATGGTGCTTCTTTTGTTACTCCTTTTCAACTATTCTCGGTAATCTTGCAGCATTAAATACTTAATATTATCATCACTATGAAAATGTCTATCCATCCTTTCTTTTGTCTGTTTTATCTTGGTCGAACTTATGTTATGACATAATGTCTCTCTAGCTTGTGCTTTCGTGTTTTTTTATATCTATTTTCAAAGCAATACTTCCAAAGTTTTTGGTGAAGTACTTTGCAACAACCTTAGTCTTAATCCTCTTATTTTTAAATGCAACTCGACATGTATGTTCATTTATATATGTTCTAAATTTAAAGTTACTTGTATGCTTTTGATATCTTGCTTAAAACACTCATTTACAATTATGATCACTATACTTTGTTCCAACTCTTTGTTTGTCACACTTGACTAATTCAATCTTTTTTTCAGCCACACAATGATCTTCTAAAACTTGGATGATTTATTACTTATTTCTAAAAGCCATACTAAGTGAAAACCGAGGATTTATGGTAGTGTCATCGAAATATATGGTTTAGACTTTTTTTCCTTACCCGATCTGTTTCACCATCATCATCACTATTTGATTCATGACTTCTATCTTCATTTGAATCAAACTCATACAAACCTACATCAATTTCCATTCATTCAATATCATTACCTCTAGCTATATGGCTATTTGATTGCGAAGTATCAACTCGATGATACATTAATGACACCATCAATATATTTTTTACTCTTCAACTATTTTAACCCTACAAAGTTATTTCTAGCAAGTAACTAACTCTTTATCATTATGTTAGTAAGTCATGACACATCAATCAACTCGTATCATCATCCAAATCTCAAATACACTATCAAAACCATTCCTACTATCTCCAATGTCTTTTGAACCGGACTCATTATTTTCTTCATTTTTATTGCCTAACCCCTATTATTGCCCTCTACACTATGACCATCTTTCTTACCGATGCCATTTGACACAAGTCTTACCTCAATGCTTTCAAAAGCATGTCTCACATTGTGTTAGATGTCATGCCGCCCATGTTCCCTATTACAACCATTTATATTATTAAATTTCTCTTTCATACTAGTTACATAAATACCCTCGTTTTCATAAAAAATTACAACATCAATAAGCCTAATACCATTGTTGCCTCATAAGTTCTACCAACAACATCCATATTTATCCTCGCATTTTATTCTTGGACCACATTGTCAACACCATCCTCAAGGTTCATCAATGTATTCAAGTCTTTCATTAACCTATTCACGACCTCTATGAAAAGATATAAAAAAATTCATATTTCCTTGCTTAAGAAAATCATCCAAATATAGAAACAAAGACTTTTCATCATATACACATATCAACCGAGTTTCTAATGTGTCACCATTTCTCAAAACCTTGCGAGTGTATCTTTTTAGGATCAACCCACTCAGTAATCGCCGACCACTTGTTTCAAGGCTAGAAATGAAAAATAATTACTATCAATCAATTTAATCTCACAAACACCACCAATATACTTCAAGTTAGGATTTCAAAAAACTCTTCTTCAATATATAATATCAAGGCTGAATTCGACATTTCACTCGTGATTTTGACAAAACACGGACAACAAAATATAAGGAGCCACTACTTTTTCATTCCGGACAAAACTCTAATATATAATCGAATCTCTAAGAGTAAAAATTAAAAGATGAAAAAAAAGACAAAAGATTTTTTAAGATTACCCTAATATATTTAAAAATTACCTAGATTAAGTTAGAATACGAAAATACCTAACCTTGAATTAACTAATTCATGAACCCTAACCTAGTCTCTCGCTCTCTATCACTTTCAATTTTGTTGGGAGAAAATGATTGACTTGAGAATCTAATTCACTTTCTCGTTATCTTTCTCTCCTCGATTAGAATCAAAATTAAGGAGATAAGACAAACGATAAGTCGTGTGTTTTAACCCCTTAATTTTGAATATTTTTTTACTTTTTTTTAAATTAACAATGAATTGCTTATACGACGTCGTTTAAGTAATTCGCATAATCTGACCAACCCGAGTTACCATTGTAAATAACAAGAGAGAGAGAGAGAGAGAGAGAGAGAGAGAGAGAGAGAGAGAGAGAGAGAGAGAGAGAGAGAGAGAGAATTTGGATAACATTTGTCTAAAAACCGATATTTTTGGGGTTCAAATTACTCAAATTGGTACTAAAAGCCTCAAATTGCAAATTGTAATAGAATATGAGCAATTTTTACCATAAAACCAATAATAATATTTTTATGCCATAGAACCAATAATAATATTTTTATTTGGGTTTTTTTTTCCAAAAAGGAACATCTATTAGAACTAAGTCTTCTATTTGAATTTCTCTTTTATCAATCTGATGCATCTAAAGAGGTGTTAGCCAAGGTTATCCGATAAAAAATTAATATATAATATCACTACGTTTATGTAATTACTTCTATAAATTTTTCTTAGTAGTTGCTTGGAATATTATCAAACTTGATGATGATCTTACAAGTTAACCTCTCCTATCGACTTGATATACCTAAAGAGGTGTTAGTTTTAAGATTTCGATTCAAGATACTAATCTCTTGATCACCAAGCTAACCATTTAAGGTTATAGATAATGATGTTATTTTGCTTCGAAATGTTTTCTAACTACACAATTATAAAAGGTTGTTGGTCTAGTTTGTATTGAAAGAAAAGAAAAGAAGCTTATCTCGCATCGAAAAGAAACATTCCACTTCAAAGTGTTTATAAAGGTGAGTTTTAATGGTGTAATAAATTAATTAGTGTTATGATGGAAGGATCTTCCTTATGGGTAGAGATGGTAATAGACAAGTATCCAACTTATTACTTCAATTTTTTACTCTACCATAAAAAGGATACTTTACTTATTATCCATTAAGAAATGAGTTTTACACATATTGAGACTTTGTACGAGTTATATTTTTTGATAGAGGCCCTAATTTTTTCGGCCAATTTAAGAGTTTTGCTTTTATGTTGTTGTTTCGGACCCTAGCTAATGACAACTTGCCACATAAGCACACATGATAAGCTCTAGCCAATAACAATATGCCACGTTACCAATTCAATCATTCAATTTAAGCCCATTGTGACACGTGGCAAGTCGTCATTGGTTAGATCTTACTACGTGTGCTTACATGGCACATTAGCATTTGAAACAACATTAATATAAGAGTAGAATTCTTAAATTGGATAGAAAAAAAACTTAGGGTCTCAATAAAAAAATAAATAAATTGTATGAGGTTAAGTGCAAAACCCATTAAGAAATCACTATATAAATTTTCATCCAATCCATATTAGAGATTATTTTATAACAACTTGTACTTTTTAGTGATTATTTAAAAGTTTAAATTGATGTTTTGAAATTTTAAATTATATAATTCCTATTTTTACCTTAAAACTGAAATATATTCGCAACCAAAAACTGAAACACACACCCAAAATTTATTAATTTAATTATTTTTGATAAAATACAACGACTAAGATATAATTAAGGATATTATTAAACTCAGGGATCAAATTATTATTTCTATCACTTTTTTATAATCAATTACCACTGATTATTATGTAACAAATATTAGTGGATGACATGTTGATAATTACTTAGACAAAAATGGTAGGAATAATAATTTGGTTGGTAAGAACATCATTCTATAATTAATCCTAACTAAAAAAAAAAAGCATCCACACTTTCTGACTTCTCCATTAAATTCCAAATACACATGCCATTTCCGTTGTTGTTGTTGTTGTTGTTGTGTTTTTCTTTTTTATGGACAGACCACACTCCTCCTATTACTTCATTGGAGACTCAATCCAGCATACACTTATCCAAGCTCCAGTGTGTCTCTTTCTCCTCCCTGAAACCAAATGGCCTTCACTCGCTGGCTTTCTCGCCTACGCTCCTACTATTCTGAAACAGTCACCAATCTTCGCTCCTCATTTTTCCACGATATCCGAACTCGAACAACCACAACAATCACCTCTCCATCTCATTTCTCAAACCAGAATCCGTTCCGTTTTTCCTGGTCACACTATCTACTTCCGATCACTCTCGCTGGATCGCTCACTTTTCACTTCCATTCTCCGCCTTCTCTCTGCGATGCTTCTCTCGATTATCCGTCGGTTTATTTCTTTTTCTAATTTAATATTTATTCACCTCTTCGATTTTAAATATTAAGAGCAATGTTATTTGTTATTAATAATTCTTTAATTTTATTTCAGAAGTAGTGGAATTGGAGGAAAAGGAAGCACAGAGTTTGTGGTCAAAGGATCTCACAAGCAAGTACCGCAAGAGCTTATTGAAGATTTAAAAGCTATTTGTCAGGTATTTTTCATATTTTGATTTTTCAGTTTTGTTTTAGAAATGTAATGGTAGAGGCCTAATTAAATAGATTACTTGTTTTGCGTGATCAGAAGCTTTTTATTGATGTTTTGTAGGATAACGTGACAATGGATTATGATGAGAGGTATTTCCATGGAAAACCACAAAACAGTTTTCATAAAGCTGTAAATATTCCGGATGTTGTTGTTTTCCCGAGGTAAGGTTGATTATTGATCTTATATTCACCGTCTCATGTTATTTAATCGATAATTTGTTGATTCGCATCCGCACTAGTATGTCTCGTAAAGGTATGATTAAGGATAAAAAGATGACGGTGCAAAGAGGATAGATTATTAACCAAAAGTGCAAATTTTATTAACTAATGAAACGAGCACTGAAATACATTCTTTTCTTAAGTTGGTTCTTCATCTACTCCCGACAAATGACAGTATAGTTCAGAGAATCTACACCGAATAAGGGAATGTCGTTTGTGCGACTCTTTAAGTAAACAAGCACAAAAGCTTTATCAATTTGAGCGCATAGGATACAGAACACTGATCTGAATAAGCATATCATATACAAGACAAGAGATGGAATAGGTCGTAGAGTTTTATGTAAAGTTTTTGCTTGCGCTTATCCTTTATGAACAACTAGATGATATGTTATATTACATACCTTATCCTCAGAATACTTCAATTCATATTTCATGCAGGTCACAAGAGGAAGTTTCGAAAATTGTGAAATCTTGCGACAAGCATAGGGTCTGAGCTCATCCTTTTGTGTGTGTGTGTCATCATTTTTTTCCCTCTTTTAAATTGATTCTACACTTTTTCCATTAGAACTTTGTTTCCTATTTTAATTGGTGTTGCTTCATGTTTGGTTCTCAAGTTTGGTGCCTGTCGATCAAGTGGTATGGCATAACACCTGTAGTTCTTAATGAAAAAATGAAAATCCAAGAATTGAAGAGATTTGCATGGGATGATCTCATTCGTTTGCTTGCTCCACTCCGCTGGCATAACATGATACCATGTTTGCCATCTGAAGCAGTCTCTAAGTTAGATTGCTTTTATTTAAGCAGGTTCCCATTGTACCATATGGTGGAGCTACATCAATTGAGGGTCACACCTTGTCACCTCATGGTGGTGTTTGCATTGACATGTCACAGATGAAGGTATATCACTGCATTGTAGTACAAACTTTGTTACATGAGCTTTAGTTCATCTGTTGAAACAATTGTTTTCTTTTATCTGCATTCACTGTTAAATCTCTAATTTCTATAAGGGGCAAAATGTCTAGAAAATATGATGGAGAACCAAGATATATATATATATATATATATATATATATATATGAAAGATCTGCTTGGACGAAAACTGCAAGTGTCTTCTTTTTATTTGTTGCTTATTATATCCTTGTTTAAAGTATTCAACAAAAAGTACACTAATTTTGTTTCTCTCTCTAAAAAATTATGCAAAGTGAATGTTGCACTTTATTTTAGCCAGAAGTCTAAGAGCAATTTTCTTAGATAACCCAAATTTTGAAGCCAACTGCTAGTTATCTCATCTTATCAGCACTTGAAAATGTTCTTGGAATTTGTTCTATTTCATATTTATAACTGCCTGTTCATTTTTTAGAGTGTGAAAGCACTACACATTGAGGACATGGATGTGGTTGTTGAGCCTGGAATTGGGTGGATGGAGCTTAATGAATATTTAGAGCCTCATGGTCTATTCTTTCCTCTTGATCCAGGTTAATTTATTAGAAGTTCTCCCAGTGATGGAACATGTCCCTGGAAGTGTTATTTTTTTGTTCCTTCACGAGTGAATTTCAACTTTAGTGTGTTTTAAGATAAGGCTACTTCAACTGCATATATGCTTGTCCTGCATAGTGGGTGAATTTGGAAACTACTTTTGGTTGTTGCAATTTTGACAGCTATTTTTGGTTAATTTAGCAATTGAGATCAGCATCTTCTTTGAATATGTTGACACGCAGGGCCTGGCGCAACAATAGGTGGAATGTGTGCTACACGTTGCTCCGGTTCTTTAGCTGTGAGGTATTTGCACTGCTTTATCAGTTGTCTTTGTTTCATTTTGATGGTTATAGTACTCATGGAATTAGCTTCTCAAAAGTCAAAATGAGTAGTAAAACTCAAGTTTCATGAAATGTGTTGGCTAACATCAAGATAAAGGTTAATTTTCTCCCATTCTTCTACACCTTTCTCCCTCGATATTTTACCAGTTTTCTTATCCATATTAATCCCATTTTCTTTTGAATATGACCAAATGACTATAATTTTTTCTCAGCATTTCCATTGCCTACATGACCCGGTTTGCATCTGTCACTGGGATTGCTCATAACCACTAGAAACACCCAAAAACAAGTGTGTGCAGATCCAGCTTCTTTGAAAAGTGATCTTCTGCACTAGAATGATAAGGTTTAACCTTGCAATACTTTAAGTGGAATTGTTAAAACATCTGTACTTATGTGGAGCTATCAGCGATGACCAGGACCAAAATCAAACGCTTTAACATTACTTTGCATTGGGTTAGAATAGTCATTTCTGTTTATCCATGATATTTATGATTCAATTTAAGGTTGACAATCGAGAGAATGTACCTTTTTGATTTACTTTATTTAATATCAATCACGCTAACCTGTCAACAAAATGTACCAATTATTTCTCCTATCACTGTGATTTATAACTTGAGTTGTCGTGGGTTTCCCTATACTAGTGCTTATGTTTGAATTCTAATTGCTTATGCTTTGGCAATGAGGCATTCGTAATGCTTAAAAGTTAGAATGACTTGCACCATTATTCTTTGATGTCTGACGCTTGAAAACGGTACCACTTCCACTCATTTGCTACATGGAAAATCCATATAGTATTGCAATGGACAATTTTGCTTGATTCCCGAATGATTAGACGAGAATTTGCAAAATTATACCTATATTAAATTGCATCGATGTATTGCATTCAATTGTTTGCTTTGAATGTTGAAGCTTTTGTCTTTAATACTTAACTTCCTTTTTTTTTTTTTTTTCTTTTGATATTCTCACTAGATAACATTTATTCAGTTAATTTTTTTTTACCTATTTTGCGAATATATGGATTATGTTAAAGATTCAAAATTCATTTTCATCTTCTTTAAATTTTTAAATTTAGGAAAGATTTAGAAAAGATGAAAATGAATATAAATCCTTTATGCTCAAGAAAAATGGAAACCGTGGTTGAATCTCAAGCAGTTTTCACTTCTAGGAACTGCTATTCTTGACTTAAGAGCAAAGAAAAAGAAGGCAACTTAGAATTGAATTCACTTTCTGGTCATAAAATCTGATTCACAGAAGTAGCAAAAAAAATTTTATTTATTTATTTATTTTTTTGTGGTTTTTTGGGGGGTGGGGGTTGTGGGGGGGGGTTGTGTTGATGTGGGGTTGCTCCTTTCCATCATCTTACTTTACTGACTGGAATTCATTCAAAAGGAGTACAGGAACTGGTTTAAGAAAAGGTTAACCCACAAAAAATAGGAACCTTGGTCAAGAATCAATGGTCTTATTTCTTATTTTATTTGCTGATTTGGTTTTTAGCCTGCAGGTATGGAACCATGCGAGATAATGTCATTAGTCTCAAGGTTTTCTTCTTGACCTCCTGATGTATTGAGTTCATTTTTGTGACAATCAAGTTCTTATGCTATTTATGCTTCAGATAGTTCTTCCCAATGGAGATGTGGTCAAGACAGCTTCTCGTGCTCGAAAGAGTGCTGCAGGGTGTGTTATCTTGTCCTTTTAGTGTTGGTTTCTTCTCTCTGTCTGTTTTTTTCTTTTTTGGTGGGGGATGTAAAAGTAATCGCAAAATGGTCATCGCCTGAATTGTAAGCCTTTGAAATTATGATCCTCATCAAATTTAGGGGAGTGTTGTGGCAAATCACAGACCAGATAATTGTTGGTGGAGTCAGCCTACAAATTTTGTTTGTTAAATTATGCCTTGCTATTCCGGACTCATGTTTATCAAGCTTTCAGGATGGTTGGCTATAATGCATGTGTGGATGATGCCCTCCATTATCTCTATTTCAATTGCTTTAGAGGATTTCTTGTTTTATTGCATATTTAGAGGAGTCAACTCTTAACCTTATTGGAATTATTACTTTAGGTATGATTTGACTCGCCTGGTGATTGGAAGTGAAGGGACCCTTGGTGTAATAACAGAGGTCACTCTACGACTTCAGAAAATTCCTCAGCATTCAGTGGTACCTTCATCCTTTCTTTGTTTGGAAGACCAAAACAACTCCTCTCCCCCCCCCCCCCCCCCCACAAACACCTTCTCTCTTTTTTTTAGACAGATGAAATTGTATATCAAGAACATAAATATATATTTATGATGGCAACAGACAAGAGAGATTGATAGTTCTGGCGTTTCTAGTTATTTTTAGTTGCTTGAAGTTTGTCTTGCTGACCTATTGATCACTCTCCAACGTCAAACATTTGTCAGAAATATACAAGAAGTTTTGTTCATTGAGCATCAAAATCTTACTTCAAACCACCTTTGTTAATAGATTTCATAACATTACAGGTTGCAATGTGCAATTTCCCTACAATTAAGGATGCAGCTGATGTTGCTATTGCCACTATGCTGTCTGGTATACAGGTAGTACTTGATGCAAATTATGTTCATGCATTCAGTGTTTTATGGATTATCCATTCTCTACCATTAGGTGTCAAGAGTGGAGCTATTGGATGAGGTCCAAGTGAGGGCTGTCAATATTGCTAATGAGAAGAATTTACCTGAACTTCCAACTTTGATGTTTGAATTCATAGGCACAGGTAAGGCAGGATGACTTTTCTTGTGACTTGCTTGTTGTTTATGTTTATTCTTGGATTAAATCCAGTATTTAACGAACAGGATTTAATCATTGAACGCATTCACTGGAATATGTTTATTGCTAATAGTTATTTGAAATTTCCTTAATATCCAATGGAATTACAGTTATCCTCTATGTGAATGATTCAGTTCTGCTGGCAATGAAATAATGAACTCTATGTTACTTGATTCATTTTGACTTTAATTTTTTCTTACTCCATCAATCTCAATGGATCAATGGTGGTCCTCAAGAAAACTACAAACACACAACAGACAGCTGCTGGTGGATTGAGATTTGACTGGATAAAACAGGGTTACCAAAGGATTATCTATTACAATCAATTGTTTCTGCAGTTCTGTTTTTCTTCTTTCTGATGGATTATGGCTTATATTTCAACCATTGCGTCTAACTAATGACTGGCTTAGGCAGCATCATGATATCTTGAGGTCATGATTTACAATGCTAGACCTGAAGTAAAGAAAAGAAAGAAAAAATCAGAGAAAATAATGATGCCAACATGGTTCATCTATCTGTTGCTGTCTGGAATTAAAATATTTGGCTACATTTGGTGTTTGAGCTTCAAATATTTTGCTATACGTTTTACTCTTGATCTTTTATGAACTAAGCTTTTGTATCTTATGTGCTGCTTTCAGTACTATCTGCTGTACAATTAATTGTTGACCATAATCGTTAAAAGGCAAAATTGATATGTTAAAGTGTATATTCGCACTTGTCGTTAGCAAATGCAATTCATTTTTCTGGGGACTTCAGAATCAACTAGGTCGGGTAGTTGTTTGGATACAAATCATCTCAATGATTGCATTACTTTTGTTCAGTCAAAAACATTCCTTAAGCCTTGTCTTCTTACTTCACTCATTGTTACTCCACTTATCTCCTGCTTGTTCTTATTAGAGGCATATGCACGTGAACAAACACTAATTGTTCAGAAGATCATTTCTCAGCACAAGGGTTCAGATTTTGTTTTTGCAGAAGACCCTGAAGCTAAAAAGGAACTGTGGAAGGTAGAGTCACTTGGACTTGTTGCATTCCTGTTCTTTCCTGTACTATTTTTGGGTACTTCTTGGATTGTTTTTGTTTTGCATATTTTGCAACTTTTTCCTTTTACAGGGCTGCTACCGCTTGATTATTCGTCATGCTAGCATGACCAAATTATTTTGTTTTGAGATCAGTTATTTTATCAAATGATTAGCTTATGCATAGTAGTTTAAGTTCTTGTTGTGCTGTAGATAAGGAAGGAGGCTCTATGGGCTTGCTTTGCAATGGAACCCAATTACGAGGCTATGATTTCTGTGAGTCGCTTCAACAAATTTATACTTGAGTTTCATACATCTTCTCTTTCAGTGCATATGTACTTGATTGAACATTTTATTTAAGCTGAATGCTTGCTCTCTCTGATTATTTTGAAAACATATATTGATGATTAGGTTACTGAGTAATTGAAATAATGATATGATTTATTTTGCTTTACTCTGGGACATTTTTCATCGTTGTTAAGTTCTCTATTCATAGGTTGTATAACTGCTGTCATTTTTTGCTTTGATGCACTCAGCATGGTTTTCTTTGACGTCCACATCATTCAACCCCAAGTCCCCTTCCAATCCTTGTTTTCTCCATTTAACTAGATTTTTTAAAAGTAATTCCAGCCCATTTTGAACAGAAGAAATCTTTTAGCTTCCGAAGGGAACATCTTCTTTTCAGCAGACTGCAATATTATATGAACGGCTTTTATCCTTTTTGTTTAATGAGAGAAGTATGGAAGGCTTTTCTTATTTTCTGTTGATGATGTTTAACTTATTTCTTGCTAATTCACCTTCCCAACTCATCGCATGCAGGACGTTTGTGTTCCTCTATCACGACTTGCTGAATTGATATCGAGGTCCAAGCTAGAGCTGGATGCGTCACCATTGGTTTGGTATGTATTTCTAAAGAACAGCTGTTAGAAACAGTATGCTAGAGGCATGTTTTTGATGGCAATTTCTCTCTTGTTGGCCGAAATAACAGCACAGTTGTTGCTCATGCTGGTGATGGTAACTTTCACACTGTGATTCTTTTTGACCCGAACCAAGAAAATCAGCGACAGGAGGCAGAAAGATTGAACCATTTTATGGTCCACACTGCTTTGTCAATGGAAGGTATATGCTCTTTTTCTGGCGTGTTATTTCTTGGTTTTTTTTTTGGGGTTGTTGGGGGGGGGGGGGGGTGAGGAGGAATACTTGAATTCTTCGGATGCCCGTTAGTTACTTATGCTTCACACAGTCAATTTTTACTTCCTATACGTTTTCTACTTTCATCTGTGTAAGATGCAGACTTTTAAGGATAAAACTCAAAGAGTCTTAGGGTTGTAAATCTTTCACCACTTGGACATTTGCCAATAAAATGCTGAAAATTTTGTGGTGCTAAAAGATTGCTTTGTTGTCTCTGAGCAGGAACATGTACTGGTGAACATGGAGTGGGAACGGGGAAAATAAAGGTATTTTATCTATTGTTTGAACTTGCAATGCATTTCATTTGAAATACTACTTGTTTGGTACTTTTGCTAACAAATCCTCTGCAGTGACCATGGATTTTCATTAACAATATTTCGGAACTCATGCTGTCACGCACCATATCTATCCAACAGTATGCAACATATAATTCAAAGGAAAGGGAGATATGACAGAATTTGTGACATCACGAGCATGCACATTAATAAATTAACCAAAATAGTTGTGTAATTACAGTCCTGCCATTGTTTCTGTTCTTGCATGATTCATGCCAAGATTCTTATCATATAGAGTTACACAAAACCGAAAGGACATTTCATTTGGGAGCGCAACACCTACAGATGCTACATGATGGCTCATAGAGTGACATGATTGTTTTAAGATGCATTCATCTCTCGTCATCCTTTGGATAAATATGCACAATTTAGAGCCGCTGAACAATCAAATTTAATGTACCACTAGTTTCATTTGGCATGTTAGTTTCTTCAAACTGAGCTTGAGCACATTTTACGCTGGAACTTCTTGAGGTTTGTTAAAGTATATGTACTATGGGATTCACTTTTGTACAAATTATAATCATTTTCATGGATTTACTTCTGTGTTTCCAGTATCTTGAGAAGGAACTTGGAGTGGAGGCCCTGAAGACAATGAAAAGAATCAAAACAGCTTTAGATCCCAACAATATAATGAATCCAGGAAAGCTTATTCCGCCCCATGTTTGCTTCTAGGACCACTCTTGCTGAGCTGGGGCTTGGCCATGTTGTCATTTTCACCGTAGGAGCTGTTTTACCTATCAAAGAGCATGTTCCTTATTTCTGCGTCCATTTGTACCATTTTAGAGCATCTGGTCCTGTGCATGTAGAATCTTTTAGGTTTGACGATGTTAAAAAAGGCAGCATACTTGACCAAATAGGTCCTGAAATTCGTCGTATATGATGTCTATCTCGTCCACCTCACATGTTGAGAAACAGGAAGGCTCGTGCTCATTTGTTTTCTTTTCCTTTTCCGTTCATGTATGTAAACTGTTCTAGGGAACCCCTGACTAATAATCCTCTGTGCAGATGAGACAATTATGAGAAATGAATAATTTGCAATTCTGAAATATAGTTTTTAGTTTCTTTTGTTTAAGAAAGATTGGCAATTTTGGTCAGAGGAATATTTATACTTCCTCAAGAACGATTGTGCCAGCAAAACTGAAGTGCGTTGCCATTCACTGCCACCCAGGTTTTTAGTGTATAGGTGGGGGGTTGCAAATAAGATTTGTTCCTTTTTTGGTGAAAATAATTAAGAAAGTCGTTAAACCAAACCAACTTTACGTGAGGACTGCTGTGCATAACCCATGATGAGGTTAGCTATTGTATTTTTACCATGCCATTCTGCTGCTGTTTCCTTGTTTCGTATTTGTTATGGTGAAACTTGATCTTGATTGCTTTGTTAAAACGGTCTGAGTCATCTGCAAACATCGCCCAAAGCCGAACTTAATTAGTGTTCCTTCTGATCTCTACCAGCCTCAGAAGTCCGAACTCACAGCCGTCAGCTTGTGCATAGCACACAAGCCAACAAGCCATGAGATCTGTTGCCAACTTTACAAAGAATATGATTAGATGGACATGGTCATTGAGAAATGAATCAGGGCTGGTACAAAAATCGCCAGGAAGCATCTCATGTGCATGCATTATTTGACATCACTCACAGTTTCAAACACCGCACACATAAGGTACAGATTCAAAGATGAATGAGTGTGGAACATAATGCAAGTAAAGATAAGGACATGGATGCTTGTGCTAAAAGGATTAAAAGAAAGTCACCTCCCAGCACTTCCAAATCGATTGATAAAATCTCCATGGAATATGTATGACAAGTCAATGGTCGCAAAAGGACAAACAAAGAGTAGGACAAACTACGACTCAAGATTCGAATGGAAGATTTCATAAAGTTCTTTGTTTTTCTCTCACCAAGCTAAGATATTCAAGATTGTTTTTTATGATCCATGAATCAGATGATTCCTGGATTTGGATCCTTCCTTTTCTCACCAACAGTTGACTGGATTTTGGTTGGGATAGGATTAGAACCTACAGCAAGTCAAGTAATATGGATAACCTTGTCACAACTACCAAAACTTAAGCTATTACCATTCCTGTCATGCCATCATTTGCAATATATTCACGGTACTCTCTACCGCAATTTACTTTTTTCTGCATAATTTATGTATGAAGAGGCTGAAATCGACACTGCATAGTGGTCCAAAATTTCCCTCATTTTTACTGGTTAGCTTCCTGAACGAACAAGTTAATATAGTGTCCAAGAGGCACGCTCAATCAAATACTATCCATAATATATAATTAGGACGTAAGTTTCAGAATGGAAACTCACATGGCCTCGGACCCCAAGGATTCCTGACTAATTATTCTTTTATGTCTCCTTAAAAGTATACCTCGAGTAAACTCCACTTGAAATCAGTAGACTCAAGACCCACTTGTCTCCGAATTAGAAGTTTTCTCATGCATTAGGAGACCATTAATTTGATGAAGACTTGTTTATTGCTTTAGCAATATATAAATGTAACTGTCATGTTGGGACAAGAAACATGGCAATAGCAAGGACGACAGACGCTTATCTATTAGAAATTTAGGGAAGCAGCCATTGACATCGATTGTTTTCATTCATTTTCTTGTTTCTTTACTTTTCTATGATTCTGTTGGGTCTTTGATTCCTATACTCGGACTTCGTTATTTATGAACCTCCTATGATCAAGTAGGAAATTTTAGTCACCAGCTAGCACCATCGCTCTGCAGGTTTTGTGGTTTAGGATTTTTGTCAAATTGAACTTTTGTGGAAGTATTCCAGGTGAGTGAATGTTAGCGAACTCCGAATTACCTTCAAACGATGCTCGTTTGGATATTCGGATCTTTATTCACCAGGTTTTCGACCCTTGGCATCCCACAACCAAAAATCTAAACATTAGTGAAGGGTATCATGTTATCGTTAACTAGCGATGGATTAGCAATTGAATAATAATTATCATCGATTTGTGAATACTAGCGACGGGATGTCGATCGATTTGCTATGGATTATCAACGACGAAAGTGGTCCGTCATTAATTAAGGCGGCAAAATATTCGTGATTGTTTTAACAATGGATTAACAATTGAAATGCAAGGACACTTACCAACGGATAGTTATATCCATCGCTATTTTTTGGGTTTTTTTTTTTTTTTTCTGGTCTTGTTAGCAAGAAAATTTTCCTCCACCAATTCTTTTAGTTTGTTGCAAATTAGCAACAAAAAATGTTCGTTCTTGATCGTAGCAATAATAGGACGTATCATGTCGATTCGTTGATATCGCTACTCGACGTTCGTGGGGCTCTCAAAATTTTATTTAAGATTTATTTGTTTGTTGGAGATTTTGTTTTTTTGGAGCTGTGAGTTATTTATTAATTTTGGAGTCGTCACGTAGTACTAAAGGAATTAGAAACCCAAAATGAGCACCGGTTGAAAGATTCATAGGTAAGAAGTTGGTTATATTATTGGAAAGATATCGATCACCTAAAAGCATCATTTTTCGGGAAAGGTACCACGTCTAGTTTAGTCTCAAGTTTTATCTCCTAAAATTTTTTATTTTTGCCATGATTAATCCTAGTCAAAATTTCAAGTTTTATTTCCTATGCCAAATTAATTTTTTTATTTTTATTTTTATTTGTGACATCATATTTAATTGATCGTCGAACCGTTCCGTTGGGTATCATGTCGGTTCAACATCGAATCTAGTTTAAATCACGACATAACAAGTATGTTGGAGAGCGAACTAATTACTAAAATGATTGGTTTGAGTTAACATCGGTATGTATTAGATATGAGATTTTTGTTAATTTTTTTTCTAGTGTTTGCTATGTTTTTTGTTTTTTGTTTTTTTTTTTCTTGTTTTTAATTATTTTCCAGAATTTTTTTTCTCTCTCTCTCTTTTTTAAATCTTTTTTGCTAGCATTTTTCTTATATTTTTCCTAACATTTCTTCTTCTTTTTATTTATTTATTTTTGTTGATGGAGAATCGTCATCGGTCCCTAAAAGTAGGAGACTTGACAATTCATTCACCTAACCTAATTAATGAAATAAATCCTAAAATTAAATATTAACTAAACAAATTCAATCAATTCAAAGTATTAAATCAAAATTAAGCTTAAAATAACAAAATATGCATAAAATAAAATTGTAAGATCAATTTATCCGAAAATGAGCTAAATTAGGGTATTAGGCCTTTTGGGGTCGGTAAGCCCTCAAACCATTGGGCCGGACCCACTAGGATGGCCTCGAGATCGGCCCGGACCTTGCCTCATGGGTTGGGCTAAAGCTCACCCCCACAAGGACAACAACAATTCACATACATTAATTCTAATTAATCACTCAAACATCACAATTTCAACACTAAGAACCCATATCCATTATTGAAATCATTCAATTCAAGCTACATCATAACATTTCCCACAATTCAAGCTTTAAAACCATAAGCATATAAACTTTAAATTAACATTTATCACACCTTAAAATATTATTTTCTTATGGTGTAGGTGAGGAATTACACTTACCTCATTTAAGTTTGTTGAATTTTTTCCTTTTTCTCCTTGGCTTCCATCCTCCTCATTTCCTTTAAACTTTTCACCCAAATAGTAATTTTTTAGGTCCTTTTTTTTTATCTTTTAATTTGGTTTTAAGGGTGTTTTATGGTGTTTCTAGGCTATCTAAGGTGGTTTGGATGGTTTTTCCTTGCTTATTGTGTAATTTCCTTTGAAAAATTTACAAAGGTCTACCTTGATTTTCTAATTTTCCAACCTTTTCTTCTTCTCCATCATGGTTGAATTTACAGGTGTGAGTGGGTGGAATTTTTGCTTAGTTTAACTTGATCTCGACCATTCGTTTAATTACATCTATACCCTTGATTAATCTTTTAATCTTAGCCTTTCATTTGATTAAATCTCCACCATCTCGCTTTTCTTTAAATCCTAGTTTTCCACCACATCAATCTCAAGCCATCCATTTGTTAAGGCACATTAATGCACTCAATAATTTATGTCGTGAAGTGGCTAGGTTGAGTTGGAAAGTCTTGGTCCAAGCTACCTAATTTGTCCCTTTGCATTGTTGTCTTAATTGAAGATGATGGATCACACTAGAGGATGAATAAGAGATTGAATTGGAATGCTAGAAATTTACTTGGAAAGTTTGAACAACGAGTCGTTAAGAACACTTTCGAATTGGTCTTGTCATTCGCTCCTTTTTTCAATTTTGGTCCATAATTGATTTGATTTTGTTTCAATTGTACCATTTAAATGTATCAATATAGTCTATATACTTTTTAATATCTTCAATTAAGTCCCTAGGTCCAGTAATTTTTATTTTGAAATTTTTAATTGATTCAATTATATCTCTAATTGCCTCAATTTTAATTTTGTTTAATTCAATTATGCCCCTAATGTAACTAATTTTTGTATTTTTATTTTATATTTTTTTATTCTTTTTCTATTTTTAAATAAATTCTAATAATGAAAATACAAACAATAAATAAGAAAAATAAAAGTAGAAGAGTAAAAGATAAAAGATAAAAAAATTTAGAGAAAATTTTTGGTTATGACAAGCTGTCTCATCTTCACAATGCTTATGATACAAATACTAGTTGAAGTGTGAACTTCAAAGTGGGTTTGTTTAGTGAGCTTGTAAAGAAGAAAAAGGAAAATATAGTGACAAAAATAGTTTGGTTAACGTGGGTAGCTTGATCCGTAAAAGTAACAACCGATGATCTTATTGTAAATGACGAGTTTACCTTAAAAAGAAAAATGCAATAGGATGGTCTTGTTGCCAAGAGCGGTTTGTCCTAAAAAAGAAAAATACGATAACCTTGTTGTCAAGGGCTACTCGTCATAAAAAAATAAAATTCGATGACCTTATT